CAGGGTAGAGGGCCTTGCAGCCATTTTGTAGTTACAAAATGGTCAGGGTAACCAGTTCAAGGCTACTTTGATATAAAATGACTAGGCATGAGGATGACTACAAACACCTAATTCACTACAAAATCACCATGCCTGACCTCAGAAATACAACTTGCACATTGGCAAAAACATGACATATCCAATCATGAATCCTGTCCCAAGCTTTCTCTGTGCACCTCAACTTCCCACGTCATGTTGAAATATCTCTGATTTTTTGAACACATTTTTTTCAGATGTTTCTTTTGCCCCCCCTCATGAGGAGGACCATAAAACGTTTTATGTGAGGGGTAGTGCCTGGAGATTTCATAGGGCATATTCACATGGCTATCTGAAAACTCAAAAGTGTGCACTAACACCACCTCAAAACACTGTGTTGTTCTACCTGCCAGGTTAGTGTAAGTCCTGACAAGGGTGCCAACACATACTAACATGGAAGGTGCACAAATGTGGCCAATCACGCTAACATGGAAGGCAAGAAATCAATCCGAAGCATGTCCCTGCTGTAGAAAGAAAGTGCTGTGTGCTTGCAAGCTTTGACAAAAAACAGCAGCACGGCTTCCTTGTTAACAACTCAACTGGCACGAACCGAGAGCCTGTCCATTTCAACCACAATCCTTACAGATTCCATGTTAACATCAAATCATACATTTATTCCACACTGCACTAACATGGAAACTGCTAATGTGTCCTTCCCCAACAATGTTCCACTAACATGGAACTCTTGGAAGGTTTCTGCTCCTACAAGTCTTGACTAACATAGCACCTGAGAATGCAGATCCTAGAGTTTCACTAACATGGATGGTACAATGTTTTTTTGGATGCTCAGCTTCCTGAGCAAAATAGCGAAGAGTAATATATATATATATATATCAACGTTGACGCTAAACAAACCACTGGCTTCAGAAAACCATGTCAATCCATACCCAGGTCGTTTGGTTTACATCAAACCGCCTCGCCCTTCTCATGTTCTACAAAGTAGGCAACTCCCCCCCAACTGCTGTTTGAGGAGTAGCCCTCCCAGCTTGGCTCCCGGTCTCGTGCGCCAGTACGTCTGTCCTGCCCGGCGAGTTTTTTTCACATCACAAACACACTCCGACTCACTAACATGGAATTGGAAACCACCCGGTTTGTAGAGGAAAATAGTCTTCTCAAAGACCATTTTCCATTTCCATGTGATGTGTTCGTCGGAGGGTAAGTCCCTTCCGATTCATCCCACTGCCCTGTTTGTAGACGGGGTACCATTTGAGGCTTGCAGCGGCTCGCCTGTAGATGTTCCTGTCCAAGAAGCTCCGAAGCACGATAGGTTGGTCACTGCCCATAACAGATAGAGGGTGAATACATGTGAATACCGTTCCGCAATGGTGCACGTTGTGCCGGTACCCCAGAAGCTCCTCCAACCCAACAAAGAGGTCAGTTGTCAGCCAAAGGCACCCAAGAAAAAATAAACCTGCCAAACCCGCCAAACCATGATAGAGAAAGCCTTGCTTTGCAGCCTTAAGTCGGCATATGAGAAAGAGCAACAACCCAAAGAAATCTGTGTATGGAAAACATTGCTGCATGGGTAATGGGGATGTAACAACCGCTCCATTTCAAAACCTCCAAGCACCAGCTAAAAGTCCCCTGGCCTGCACAGCATGTTCTGGACAAAGCAGGACTATAGTGGGGTCCACTGCCCCACTACCAAGGACCCGCGCGATGAGAGTTGTTCGTGGCTGCGGCATTGCTCGCTCTCAATATGTTTTCACAAGTCTCTTGTGGTAGTACTTTTAGATAACTCTAAGACCATTCGATTTGCAGGCGACCAGGTGGTCTGAAAAAAAATACATTAAGGAAAACAAAGTCCTCTTCTTCCAAACCCGTTTGAGATGGGTGAGCCGATATATTATAGTTTTGGGAAACCACTGGGTACATGCTTGGTGGAAAACTGTCTGCGTCTGAGTTTTTGTCATGTTTTGTCACAGCCCACTTCTCCCGAAAACAACACATCGGTCGAATGAACCCAGCGAGTCCCAGAAAAACATTGTTGCAATTGATTCACCATCTCCAATGATGGTTTTCCTACTTTGATCTGGTGGAACTGCCAATTGTTCCTTGGCATATTTTTGAATGAACGTCTTCACCTTGACAAACATCTCTTCCTCCATTCTTCCCTCGCCAAGCACAAGAGATTCATCAGCATGCTGTACATCTCAGTGTTTCCAGAATGAGGAGATCGTACAACCGTCTACTACCGGGCCTAGCCGTGAGAATCTGCGAACGAGTTCTTATTCCAAAAAAAAGGGTCAGTGGGCCCCTAGCCTATGGGTCCCGAAATCGACCGATTGATGGGGTCCAGGTTCTCCGACAAAGTATTCGCTCCAAACAAACCTCGAAACTGACATAACGAAGATCACACAATCACCAAGACTCTGATGGCAGTAGATTGGGAGTAGCGATGGCCTCCAAACTAGTAGCAATGGCCTCCAACCCAGAAAATCACCAAGACTCTGATGGTAGTAGATTGGGAGTAGTGTTTCAGGCACAAAGAAGGACCTCGACTCTGCCGCTTCAAATGGCTATTGACCGCCTAGTCTGGAAGCACGACCTTTGGACAGTCTGCGCCGCCCGCTGTGCCGAGAAGTGCAACGCCCATTTGAGTGAGGAGGGTTGCAGGGGACTGGACCGGTATCGACACCCTACAAACTCTTCTTGTCATACAGGTGATGGTAGACTTCTACAGGAAAGTGTTCATTTGGAGCAAACCACTAGTAGTGAATCAAAATCTGTACCTCAAATCATCTTGAAAGGACCAGTGAATTGAGATGGATCGAGGATTTGGGTCCTTCTCGCGCCGGGTTCAACAAGTTTCGAGTGGACGCTTCTGATGACTCTGGCTTTCTTTGCACTCCTCAAACCCGACGGAGCACGAGGTGGAGGACTCCTCCTCCCGGGCGTGCTTGAAGAGATGAAATCCCTCCCGCCCGAAGCCTGTTGTGACTCTGAAGACCATGGGAGGCTTTCAACGTACACATGAATCACCTGGCAATTTCCCGGAATCCCGAAGATCCCCCCCAGAGTTCTTCTGTACATGTGTGTGAAAACATGGACGTTTTCGGGAGACAAGAAACGCTATTTTAAATGAACGTGCAGAACTGGATGTTGTTTTGGTTGCATATAGTATGATACAATATATATGAGCGGTGTCAAAAAATAATCAGATTTTTTATGATTTTTTTTCTAATTAAGATTATAACAACCTTTCGCGGCTGCATGCTTTGCTTTCGCCGACCCACTTCACCCGACAACCTCTTTAGCTAACCCTTTCGCCGAGTTTCTGCTACTTACATCTAAGAGAAGTATCAGCAAAGGGGAATCATTCCTAATCTGCAACCACTGCTTCCGCCACATCTTCGCGAACCTTTCGCCAACCTTTCGCCTGGTTATCAGGAATCTTTGGATGACATGCTTTGTACTGAAAACCTCTTCGCCAACCCTTTCGCAACAAAATCCATTCATCAAAAAATCAGAGCCTTTCTCCAAACCTTTCGCCAAGCTTTCCCCAACTGCAGTTTTCCTTTCGCATGACGTTGCTTATATAGGTTGAACCTGGATGTTTTTGACGTGCGACGTGGGACTCCAGCCAGTTGTTCTTACCCTCTAGACCAATAAGTTTGATGTTGACCAGCTCAGAAGGCACACATGTCGGACGAGCTTTTTTGATGTTTATCCATCAGTCGGGACCAAGGAAGTTAACAAACTTGAGCTTCGACACACTCCTCGGATCTCCTCGGGGTTCACCGAGGTCATCTGGAGGATTCTAAAGTTGCTCAGCACTTCGATCTAGTCTGAAGAGTTTCATGAAACCATATTCAAACCATGTCGAACCCATTGGTATCGTTCACATCATCACGTGCCCAACTAGACCATGCGTGTCATGTAAGGACTTCCTCCGCCAGGAGTGACATTGTCGCTCCATTGCCCGTCTTTCTTGGTCTGTCCAGCCACCAACAGGTCGTCGATGTTGCTCTCTGGAGAGCTTCGCTTCGCATCGGCCCTGAGGAGCGACTTCATTTTCGCAACGAGATGTCATTGCTCATGAGGCCACAGGAGCTGGTGGCTTGGGAAGCGAAGCTGCTACGTCTCAAGTCCCACTCCTGGCGCCCAAGAACGCGGGAATCCAAAGAAAACTCTCAGTAAACGGGTCTGAGTGGATCTCAAGAATGTCTTCCACTTTTTTGAAGCAACCAGGTGGTTGCAAGAGCGCGCGTGGATTCTCGAGCTGAAGTCACTGAGAGTCTCACTGAGGACCTGCAAACCTTGTAGTAACTAACTAGATCCGCTGGGAGTTCTTTTCTTGGACCAGTCTGGAGCCACACCTCAATCATGCTTAGAATTGCCCAGAGAGTCGCGTCCGTCCTTTTTGAGGACATGACTCGTTGGGGCGAATTTACACTATCTTGTTAGTAGCGTATTTGTTCCTAGTACAGTACCGCCAGGAGCCCCGTTCGTTTCGTCCTTGCTCCTAGTAGCGATACCCTTTTCTCCTAGTAGCTTCTTGTTAATGGCTCACCAAAACTGAAATACACTCAAAACAGTATAAATCTCAATACGTCTGATAACACCGGATATGTTTGAGCGAGTGAGGTAGCGGTTGCAATTCGATGCAATTCAACCCAACAAATGTCCGTCCCATCACATATTCTGATACAGAACGGGGAATGGCAGTCTGATCATACCATGTTACTCTCTCAGATATTTCATGTTAATTATAATACATTATTATATGACAAAACCTGAAGGGTTGTGGACTCGGGCGCATGGCGCTGCCAGGATGCTCGGCTCAAACCCATGCACGTGATGCTCCAAATCGAACGATCGAACCATGCAGGTGGACCACAGATCTTGTGCCGAACCGAGCCCGAGAGGACCAGACATCCACGTCACCCGGCCGGTCCTCGCGTGGGGTCCTCGGCCGTGGTCCTTCAACGCGGCGCGGGAGATCCAAGCGTGCAGGAGGACCGCCACCTCGGTGCGATCCGCACAGGGACCGTGTCCCGTAGCGGAGGGCGAAGTCCTGGGGCCCACATCCTCTTCACCAATTCAAGAGGGAGCTCCTTACACGCGATGGTTCTGGAAGGTTTCGCTCTGGTTCTGGGTTGTCCTGAAGGTGTTCTTAACAGATTGCACACTTTGGGAGAATTAACCCCTTGGCACTCCTCTTGACCTCTCCATAACCAACCCGCCTTGCACACAAAGAGTCTAGTCTAGTGTTTGTCAATTTGTGCAATCAGTCTGGTGCATGTGTTTTTGTTTGTTTCTACCATCTACTGGGGTGTTGTTTAAATAACCAACATCCCCATCTGCCCGCCACTAATTATGCAGCCTGGCGAAAAGGAGGTACGTGCCAGAGCCCAAGACCACATCCTCAGCGGTGGCAGGAGCTGTGCAGGTAAAACTGGTGAATGTTGGTTTCACCATGTTTCACTCAATCTTGTTGAACGCCCATACCAGTGAGTTCAGTGCATGGCTATAACACTCTTTTCCATGCTTTTCGGGCACCCATCGTTTTCCCGGATGCAGCCATATGGACCCATATGATCTGTTTCCCAAACAGCAGACTCGCTGAACATGTTCCAGAGGCACATCAGCGCAACCCAGCCGGTTAGCCGAGAACTTGTCCATTGATCATTGGCAAAACAGAACAATAAAAACACAGCTGCCAAGGTGGATTGTGAACAGCGCATGAACTCAGACATCACCAAATCACTTGCTCACAGCATCGCCTGGACATATGCGGGTTCCAACATCTTTTATTTGCCTCATGACCTGAGATCTCAAGGAACCCGCACTTTCTGCCGAGGAACCTGCGAACCTCGCGTCCAAGGATCCAACGCAACTCACAACTTCGTTGAAAAGCTGAAGAAACATCTGCAGCCGAATGGCCACACTCAAGCCTTGGTCTCCTCCCCGCACATCAATGCCAGACCTGGCGCCATCGAATGCTCAAAGGTCTTCCCACACCACCCCAGAAGCCTTCGTCCGACCTCCCGCAACTGATCTGCACGTGTCCCCTTTGCAGTGACCCAAAGTGCCGCCAGCAAAAAGCCTGGTCATCCACTCATCAACATGGTGTGAACCAATCACTGGACACGGTCTTCAAAGCAGGCATCACTGGGCGGGTGACGAGGCCAGGGGGAGAGAGGCTGTTCATCGATCACCTGAATGAATCCATCCCTTGTCACTTGTCACCTCTACTTCCCCCAATGCGAGGAGTTTCAGGGAGCCAGCTTAGGGAGTTGCAACATTCCATGCTGCATGGATCTATTCTGCGAAACCTCCAAACACAGAGGTTCGACCCTGTTCGACCGCAACCCAGCTATGGCGGAGAGAGATACTCTGAGAAGCGGCTATCTATGTGGCTCTGGTGTGACTCTACCAACGAGAAGAACGTCACTGGAAGGCCATCCTCCTTTCCAGTTCCTGCCCGTTGGGTTCCTTCTGATTCCTTCTCTCTGGGGCTCCAAACAACCGACTCAGCTGCTCCTTTTGGCCATCATCCAAGTGAACGAAGTCTGATTGCTTCAGCTCAAGCATGGTGATGATCATGCCTCAAGCATCGCAGGTCGCAGCTCGGAGCCATGTGGGAAAAACCGGACACTGCACTATAAAGGTTACATATATATATATACATATTTATACATATATAGGATACCAATTGAACATCATGCGTTGTGTTCTTAGATTGTGCTTGAGTGGATCATCTGCCAGATATTCTATGATATTCTTCTACACCCAAGCACCATGCGACAGGGCAACATGCTTGAGGAGGCCCTAATGGACACAAATGTCTTTCCCACATAGACCATAAAGAAACACAACAAAGAAGAACCTCCATTCTTGGAGCTTTTGTTTGTTTTGAGTTTGCCACCGCAGACTTGCAACATGGGTGTGAAAATACCAAAGACCAACCAACAAGTAAGGCTTAATTAGGCAGCTTGTTGGACATGTTTGACACTGTTTGGACCAAAGACTCTCGCCATGTCACCTCCCTGTCCACCTGCTAAACTAAACACCCACTCTCGCACTCTCACCACACCGCATCAATTTTTGCTCCACATCTGTTGCGCCGGCCACGTCACCTCAGGCGGAGGGCACATGGATTCTTGCGGAGGACGCCACCCACGAAAGAAGAGAGTGAGGCGCATCTGGGAGGTGTCCGAAGTCCCAAGTCATCAACTACATTGAGGAACGTGCATGATGAGCTGATGCCGATCTTCTCCACTTTATGCTTTAATTTGCAAAACAATGGACTGTAGATGACTGTAGCCACCTTTTCAGATGCCTCAACAAAAAAACACAAAAATCTTTGTGATATTCTTAGTCTTGAAGTTCAGATCTTAACCCTTCAACCCACCGTCTGCTGGAAATGATAATTTATTGACTCCACTGGACAAATAACACAACAACTGAGAAACATGATCATCTTCCCTCCATCCATGTGTCGTTTTCAGGTTCTGTTTTTCTTCAATCACGGTTTCTTCCCCCTGGCACTGCCCGGACCAAGGCACTGCCCGGCTCAGTCCATGAAGAGGCCATTGGTCGTGGTCTGGATGGCGGATCGACACAACCTCCGCGACAGCAACGCAGAAACAAAACAGCCTAACCAGGTCGTGTGAGCGAACCCTCCCCAGTGAGCCAAATCAGAACGACGTGATTTTCTGAACGCAAAAAAAACTGTCTGAAGCACAAGAACATCATGAATCCGGGAACATTCCAAGCAGCAAATCTTGCTTTTGAGCGGTCAGGAGGGGTTCATGCTGTGGAAATTGGAGCACTCGGCGTTGTACCAAACGACAAATTGATTCCAGGCGCTATAGTCCTATGGATCCCACCCTCTAGCCTGCAGGTACTGTGAAAACATCTTTAATGTTCTAGTGATAAACGGATATACAGTATATTATATCACAAATGGTAACACGACTGGACTAACATGTAAGGCGTTCAATCTCTCCTTTGCAACTCCAAAACCGCTCGAAACCTCCTTAAGTTCTTAAGTTGAACTCGGAACTCCTTCACAGGCTGGAATCCAGCAAGAGAGGATCTACCAAAACCCACAACCAACCGAAGAAGTCTCTTCTACATCGGGTGAGGGTAGTCGATGGCTGAATCCAATATCTTCTTTAGCATTGAACTAAACCCTGCGACATGGGAGGCACCTTGCGAGCGACCCTTCGAGCGACCCTGCGACAGAGATATGGCTCTGCCAAGGAACGGACACAGTTGCATACTTTGCTGTTGGTGGCAGGAGCAACCTGAGGATCTGGGTTGTCCTACATGGGTTGTCCGAGACTTTGGAGACTTTGGATTGGGATACTTGGCCGTCCACGTCCATCTTAAGCCACTTGGAGATACTGTAGTCAATATCATTTTGGATTTCCAATGGATGACGATCGGACTCGGGATGTTGCCAGAAGGGCTGTCCATGAGCTTCAGCCATTAGAAGCCTCCTGCATCATCCACACACTCCCCAATGGCACTCCTTTGAGATGTTCCCCACACCACAGGACATGTTTTGCTTCTGTGGATGCACTTCCAATCACTCCCCAAACGTTCCCAAGCAAGGTGTGTAGCGTGTGGTACAGGAGTCCTGTCTCCTCATCTTCACTCTCATTTGCCACCCTCTGCGCGGGGTGGAGGGGTCAATCCTGCAAACGGCTTTGGACTGGACCTGGGTCCATGCAAACGTCCCCTCATGTCCTCATGTCTATATAGTGATTCATCCAACCCTAGAAACGAGTCGCATTCATTTTATATAATATAAATGATTTTAAGCATCTTACTCCTATCGGATGGACAGTTTGTGGTCCAGACCTCTGTGGGTTGTGCATGTTTGGTGCTCATCGCAATCCAATCTGCCACTATTCCCCGGAACGCGCAAAGCGTATCTGCACCAAGGAGCAAATCGTATGACCGCAAGGCACTAAAACCACGACCTGCAGCATCTATCTGTCTGTTCGCAAGTGGTACCTTGATACCATCCAACGTCTCAAAGAGGACATAAATCCCAACTGCTAAGATTCATTATGGCCAAAACTTGGTGTGACATGGTCCGATGTCTTCCGATGTCTTGGTGCGTTCTGTCACTAGGTCCACTCCGATGCGTAAAGGTGTGATAGTCCTGTGCTGCATGGGTCCACTAGGAACATCCTGCCGCGGCCGGAACATGTGTTGTTCATAGTGTGATACTGTGACTGAACAGATCCAACCAGCAAAGTAAAGCCGTCCGGCAACAAAAAACAGCTGTTTGTGCATGGGAGATAGTCTTGTCCTGCAAAAAACAACATTATCAGGATCATGGAAGCGCTAGTGGTGACATCGAATGCACTTGCAAACCAAAGCCCTGATTGGGCCTGGGTGAAGGCCTCTCAAACAAACACCTGTGTTGCAAACACATATCATGATAACCATATCAGCATATCAACATCAGCTTACTACATGGGTAAACTTGAGGTATTTACTTTCCCTTCAGGCCCATTGACCAACTTTTTGGTCCCTTCAATCCTCAGGGTTCGAGAACATCACCTCAAAATGGTTTCTAAGTCGCTGGTGAAGGTGACATTGACCTCTCTTATCTCCGGTCTCTGACTACTCATGGCTGGAATGTCCTCACATATTGATCGATGCATTGTCAACAACTCCTGCCAGTTGGCACTGGCACAACGGTCTCATCATGTCTTCACCAGTTTGTGAAAACTGGTTGGGGAGGTCCAGGTCTGGACCCCTTGCAGATGGGGCTCCTGGCAGGCTGATGCTCCTTACAGATGGGGCATGTGCCAGAGCATCCACCAGTAGCTGGTGTAGGTGCTGGGCTCTCAACCTGAGTCACGGCTATCCATGGAGCAACCGACGAGCACTGCGGCAGTGTCATGTGCGAAAGTATAGGAAACTAGGAAACAGCCTGTTTCACAGGATCCTGACGAGGTAAGTTATGGAAGGTTTGGTTTGGATTTGAGATTTGCGAGAAGTCAGTCAGTGTTCTTCCTTCCAAAAACATGATAAATTGAGGGCTGCCAAGGGTGGCAGTCTATCTGGTCCGTGACCAGTTTCGCCGTCAAAGTTGGATCGAGAAGAATGCAACAAAAACACATGTCAAAGTTGGCACATCCAGTCTTTGAGATGTCGGGTTGTTGTTCTTTAGACTTTCTTGAGTGGATATGTTGGGCACAAAGATCTTCAACCAATCCTTTGGAGCTGACACAAGGGGGGGGTCTTGGTCCATCCATGCTTCCCTGTCAGGTCCAAAGAGAATTGGAACACCCTTGGAGCCACGGAGCGACTTGCCAGCTGCCATGCAAGGTGCACAACATGGACTGGGACTGAAAGTCAAAGTAGTGCCTCAGTGCTGCATGGCGTGCGGCAGAGCTGCGTCGAACAAGCGCGCCGCTTGGCGCGCTGGTTTCAAGTGCTGTAGGGGCACGACAAATCGACCAGCGCCAGCGAGCAACGTTTTTTTGTCCGTGACATGTTCAATAGCTGCACCCCCTGACATAACAACATGTACACACACACACACACACGGAGGTTTGGAAGCTAGAACAATGATAGATCATGATGGCCCTACGGCATGGCCCTACGTGGCGGTTTCCGGAGAACACTTTCTTAGCTTGTTGTTGGCCAAATCAGAAGCAGAAGCAAGCAGGGGAAGCAGGGCAGGTAGAATCCCACTTCTGTGGTGCTCCAAACTGAACCAGAACATGGATGAACGTGGTAGACTCTAGAATCGACCGTGGCCTGGTCTGGCCCGCCCTGGCCCGCCCCACGGGGGAAGGCTGATGATGTGGCTGCTGATGTGAAGTCCCAGCAACGCTCAAAGGCCCCAAAAATCCAAATCAGCCACATCCAAACCAGCCTCATGATTTTAGTCTCAGGTTCCAGATTCAGAAACCACATCAATTCCGGAAAAAAGGAAAGACAAAACACCCCAAACTTGAAGAAACAAATCACTTTCAAAACATCTTACCTCAATTAGAACCAGAAAACTCAAAAAGCCGTGTCCCAAAAACTCATCTGGAAAGTTCTACTTATTCAAAAAAGCTCTTCCTCCACGGACCCGCTGCCTCTGGACCCGCTGGCCATCCTCCCCCGCACCGCGAACGCGGCGGCGCACCCCAAGCCCGACCGAGGGGCTGCACGGAGGCAGTGGCAAAGCCACAGGCGTCCAGGTCCATCTTCAAGCGCTCCGCTAAGCGGTCCTGGGGCGACGGACCGCGGTCCAGACCCCGGTGAGTTCAGACAAAGAATGGGGAACACAGAAAAGACGTTGATACATAAAGACAAGAAGAGTAAAACAGAAATCCTCATATAGGATTCTTTTAAGCAAGTTCAAGTTGTTTTGAGAGTGTGTGTGTGATCACATCAAACTTTGTTTTAACACACCCTACAGCTCTATATAGAGATGTTTCTCCTTTTGGATGGCTCAGGGTTGGTGCTCTCAACAATACCTTTCCCCCTTCTGAAAAATCCGATCGCACCACCGCGTGCTTTGGCTCGCACCACGCCAAGGCTCTGCAGTGATGCAGGGGCCCACGGAAGGTATTCGAACCTCCCTCAAGGTGTAGCATTCCTCGGTGCTGGGAGGTTGTTTCTGTGGGTAGAAACATGTGGCAATATGAACCATACGAGCACCGTCACCGGTCGGCGTCACCTGGGTGGAAGCCCCCACATGCACTACATTGTAGATATCCACGAACCGCACCCCTTTGAAGGTCCAAGTATATTAATATGAACCATGCTTTTGTGTGGATCACCCAAAATTCCAGGCAAAGTCTGTACAAAAAAACAAATTGAAATGTGTTGCAGGTTTTTCTTGGTAGTCGGGATGTCTTTTGATACCAAACCATGGCATTGTAGTGTAAGTCCCTCTCTTGGTGGTCATGCCACTTCCTCAACCATATCTGTCACTGCCACCTTGCGGCAACACCACACGCAATCGCACTGCCCCGAGACAAAGTAATTCTAGCCAAGATTCCATACCCTTCTGCGCTTCCGCTCTGCAGCCCTGTACAAAATGCTGGACGGTGTCCTTCACCCAAGCGTCGGCCTAGCGACATTCACAAAACAGGAACAAAAGAGCCCAACCATAATGTGTGTGTGTGTGTTGGTTTATGACACCTACCAGAACACCAAAATTTACGCCCAAGTTGTGGGTTGTCTGCATTTATTTATTTTTCTAAGGGTCACGCTGGCTTCCGATAACAAACATGAACTGCACTGGCCATACATGAAACATCATGAAAGATCGTTGCATTTCTTGGACTACAAACCACACAAACGCTGTACATCTGGCTTTCAGGTTTCGCCCTAAGCATTCAGCAGCTTCCGCTGCTAGGCATCCGCCTGTTGAAACTGCTGGTTGCGCGCTTGCGCTGTCAAGCGTCCCAACTCTTGCGCCAGCATTGCGCCGGGCGCGTTGGTACACGCGCACGTGCCGTGTGCAAGTGTGGTTGGGCCCGGGAAGCTTTTTCTGCTACGGGTGCTGGTAACTAGGTTGGAAGTTCTTCCCTACACCATATGCCATATCTTGAACTTTCTGCTGCTCAAAGTTCGCGGCAGGTCTGTAATTAAAGGAATAAATATCGGAATATCATGGAATATCCATAAATATCCTTTACCTCTTGTACTGTTGAACCACTGGGAGAAAAAACTTTGAGAAACCACGTGTATCTTTGAAGAAAAACTTATCTGACCTCTTTGGCTGACTGGCTCCCAGCTACCCCCCAGCTTCTCAAATGCATGATCCCATGCCCACCGTGGACCGTGCGGATGATAACAAAAAAGAGCACTGCTTTCATAGTGCTTGAAGGAACTTAAGCATCTGAACCATCTGATGTTCAAGATGTTGCTGTTTCTTTGTCTTCCAGCTATCTTAGCCAGCATGATCTTTACCTTGAGCAAACCAGCCACGATCCGAAACAAATCGACTCAAAAAGCTGAAGAAACACAAAGCATCACAGGATGCCAAACGGGGCTCATAATTGCCTGCTACGGCACTATCGGGCAACTTACATCCCACATGTTTTTGATACCCCTATGTCAAATCACATGCATCTAAATTTGTCCAGGTTGAAGCCATCGATAATCGATCAGGACCTGAAGAAGGCTAACACCCCAAGAATTCCAACAGTTGCGTGTGAAAAGATACGCAAAAAAAAAACCTATACTTCCACATGCTGAGCAATGTATACTCTGATACTACGACTCACTGACACGCACCGACATGCAAGTGGATGGCTTTTTTTAATGATACGGCGACCACCGAGATCTACACACTTCTTCCAACCAGTTTGCATACTCCAACTCACCGACCAGTCCAATCTGAAACCCAGAAGTAACTCGTCAAACAAATAATACACCAGATCATTATAGACAACCTATGAATCATATGAACATGAAGTATCAACGTGAATCAACGTGTCAAACTCATACCTGACTCAACGCACCCAACGCACCCACCACCGGGCTTTCCGGCTGATGAGCGCCACATCCATCGCCGCCCAGGCGCCCAGGCAATGCGCCACGGCCCTGTGTCCGGTCGCCCATCCAAGGGAAACACCGGAAATCCAAGCGGTGGCCAAGCCATTTCTAGGAACATCTAGGAACGTTCCTTAGGTAGCATACATAAGACCAGGTGATGCTTCTTCTGATGGATCATAGGATGGCACGAAAATAAGCGCCTTTGAGGCACCGAAAAGTTAAAACAAAGCTTCCTATGGAAAGGAATCTTCCTAGGCTTCCTAAGGTCTACCATGCGAGGTTCCAGGGTGCCACAGTCCTTCCTTGAACTTATCTAAGGGAGTGAGAGTAAGAAACCACTAATCTTGTCTGCAGAACCATGGAGAACGCTACAGCTTCACTGGATCTGCGCATTGTTTGGCACCTTTCTTTCATCAGAGAATCTTTCAAGATGCTGGTGAATCTGAAAACTGGTTGTGGAGTATTGAGTCCGGTGAAGAGATTATTGCTCTTTGGTCAACCAATATGGAATTGGAAAAAAAACATGATTTGGGGAGGACATTGATCTTCTGAAGGCAATCTTGCAATTTGATGGGATATACATCGGCATACCAGTAGCCATACTTCTAAGGCAGGACTTGAGATGGAGCTCTGCTTGCTGATCTATCAACTAAGTGACTGATAGGAATTTGGAACGCAAACTTCTTGGTCCATCCCACGGCATGTACAGTCCTTTGACAAACAGTTGCAGCAGGGCTTGGGCTGCCTTTAGATCACCAACTTTCGGGGTATGGGTGTCCTGCTATATACATCACTGTCAACAAAGACCCCTTCCATCAGGCCCTTGAGGCCCCGACGGAATGTTGATGTGACGGGTCACGCGCCATTGGGGAACACGGCCATACCTTGGAGACGTCTCAGGGCACCGCCTCTACGGACGAGAACCGTGGTCCCAAGTCTCTGACATAACCTTCAAAGATCAACATCGTTTCAAGAGAGAGATCTCCAAACACTAGGACCTTGAAGAAAGTGGCCTAGAAAGGACCGATTCCACCACTTGGCAGAAGAATTCGCACAAACTCACGTCAATCCCAAAGTACCAAAGGAGCAGCAACAGTATGAGCTGAAGGTAGTTGACCTGACATTGCGAGAGTGACAGCCCCTCGTCCCTGCGAAGCCCCTCGTCCCTGCGAAAAAACGTAGATGACAAACCCACACACAAAAAATATATTAATTGCCTTTTGATTGCCTTGAAGCAGGGAAACAAAACCTCAATAGTTTTTTTTGAGGATCTCAGCGTCGGCTCTTGCAACAAATATGATCCATCTCCTGGACCCCGGGCATTTGAGGAATTTGGGGTTTTCACAAACGATGCGTTCTTTTGAGGCATCAGAAGAAACGGCTTGCACAGAAAGCACATCAAGCGCCTCAGTTTCAGTGTTGCTTGGCTAGATAAGGCAACAAAAAGGAAACAAAACAGCATATGCAAAGCGCACATTTCACCAACATTCAGGGTTGCACTATAGGTGTTTCCTATCAACAGCTATAGGTGCCTAGGTGCTTCATACAGGTAATTACATGTATCCTTAAAAAATACAGTACATATTTTAGCCCATCAACAACTTTGATTCACACCTATCTCTAAAGGATCTACAATGCTCAGCTAGCTTCCTCGACCAAACCACCTGATTCTTGATCTGCTTCGGACCCTGGTCCCTAGGTGCACGGCTCCCAGCGCGAAGAGAATGAAGGTAACCTGCACGATGTCTCATCTTGAATCCCTGAATCTGTACTAATTAAGCAATTCCAAGCATTGAAGCAGATTAAAACCACAAAATCAACATCCATCAAAGGTCTCCTCAAGCAGTCGCAAGTGAGGGCGGTTCAAAAAAATAGAAGTGGTGAGACATTGTTCCCAACAGCAGTATGACTGTTGGGTTTCAATCTCTAGGTCTGGGAGTGGTGCCGCCTCCGACTGCGGAGCTCAAAATCCGGAACCGGAACCCTGGAACCCTGAAACCCTGGAATGTTGGAATCGTGGAGCCCTCAAAATCTGAACGCTAGAACCCTGAAAAGGTGAATGCTAGAACCCGACATTTGGGTCACGTGGGGGGGGCAGGGCGGCGCATGAAATCAAATCTGGAATTTTGGAACCCTGGAACCTTGGATCCTTGGAACCTATAGAACCCTGGAACCCACCCTGGAACCCTGGAACTCTGAAAAAGGCTCCTGAAAGCTTCGCAGCCAAAGTTGATATGTGTGGATTTTTTAACATGCTTAAGCATGTTTGTCAAATCGTCTTGGCTGTGCTTGTGCAATCATTGAACGGGAGGATGCTGCGATGAAACGTTTTGCTTGCTACATTTGCAGTTGTGTTCTTCAAACAGAGAAAAACAAAACCTACAAACACGGAATCCTTTCTGGTTTGTGTAGTCGCTGTATCACTGCTTGATGGGCTGCGGGTGATGGCGCGTGAGCCATGACCTCAGGGGCCCTTAGGGTATGTGCGAACTTGGATTGGCCTCTGACATTTGGCTTGGCTGTGCTTTGAAAGAACAATTTGCAAAATATTTCGTTTGGCAAGGTGCATGTGGCTTTGGCGTTGAAGGCCGGGTCGGCGTTCGTTTTGAAATGTGGGGCTGGTCCCGGCTGGCCTGGGCTGGTGGCTCTGCTTTCACCTTGAAATGTCGGGTTGGTCCCTGGCTGGCCTGGTGGCCCGGCTTTCATTTGCAAATGTGGGGCTGGTCCCTGGCTGGCCTGGGCTGGTGGCTCTGCTTTCATTTTGAAATGGGCTGGTCCCTGGGCTGGTGGCTCTGGTTCTCGATTTCGTCAAATCTGGTGCTAGAATTCGTCAAATCTGGTGCTCGATTTCGCCAAATCTGGTGCTCGATTTCGTCAAATCTGGTGCTAGAATTCTTCAAATCTGGTGCTCGATTTCGCAAAATCTGGTGCTCGATTTCGTCAAATCTGGTGCTAGAATTCTTCAAATCTGGTGCTCGATTTCGCAAAACCCGGTGGTCTGGCCGGTGCTGATTTTCTCGAAATTCTGCCCAGGGCGGAGACACACAATCCAACTCAAACTCAAAAATCACTTTCTGGCTGGTGCTCGAAGTCGTCAAATCTGGTGCTCGAATTCGTCGAATCTGGTGCTCAAATTCGTCAAATCTGGTGCTCGAATTCGTCAAATCTGGTGCTCGATTTCGCCAAATCTGGTGCTAGAATTCCTCAAATCTGGTGCTCAAATTCGTCAAATCTGGTGATTCTTGTGGTGGTCCTCGGTGGTGCTCCATTTCGTCAAATCTGGTGCTAGAATTCGTCAAATGTCGTGCTCGATTTTGCCAAATCTGGCGCTCAATTTCGTCAAACCTGGTGCTTCTTGTGGTGGTCCTTGGTGGTGCTCGATTTCGCCAAATCTGGTGCTAGAATTCGTCAAATCTGGTGCTCGATTTCGCCTAATCTGGTGCTCAATTTCTCTGGCTGGTGCTCGATTTCGCAAAGCCCAGTGGTCGGGCTGGTGCCAGAGCGGGATTCGTCAAATCTGGTGCTCGAATTTGAATTCGTCGAATTCGTCAAATCACCCCACCATGACCTTAAGTTGACAGTGGTGGACAAGCAAGACACGCATTCACCATCTCATATCGTTTGCAAGACACACACACATACACACCTTACAGATGGGCACTGACTATGGGGCAGGGGATGGGTGAAGTGAGGTATGATTCTGATCATGGTGAGATCTAAAACTTTCAATCTGGGTCAAGCCCAGCAATTCATTGACCCAAATGTCCCAAAACCAAGAGCCATTTCCAGCAATTCGCTGGTACTCGTTTTCATGAACACACTTCATCAAAAAAAAACCTATTGTTGAACTGTTACTGGGGGCGAGCCACATGAAAAAAATATACAATTGTAAAGATTTGGAAGTTTCGAAACGCTTAGTCCTTGAGTTCTTTCCTTTTTGCCTTTTTTTCTACAAGTGCGTTTGGCCTATCAATGGTTCAAGCCTTGGTACTCATGTTTTACACACAAGCTGTGAACTTTGGATTCTTGCTACTTGACGCTAGCTTGCCATGCATACTTTTGTGGCGTAAGCAAAAAGCGGACTTGCATGCGGCGCTCACTTTTGACAATGCTTGGTTTGGAAGACCCAAAATTTGGCAGCATTTCTTTGCATCTTTGGCGATTCTGAGAGATTCACGCATCCTTCGCGCACAAGCCATTGACATGAACTTGAGGTAGGGGTGAGGTATGGAGTAAGGTAGGGAGTGAGGTAGGGAGTGAGGTATGGAGTGAGGGAGTGAGGTAGGAAGTGAGGTAGGGAGTGAGGTATGGAGTGAGGTATGGATTTGTTTGCCCTTGCCATGAACGCCTTTTGTATAGCTTTTTCGTCCAGGGGTTGCAATTCGAAATTGAACGCCGTTTCGGCCAGCAATCTTCTGAAACAAAGTGAGGCGTTGAGATATTTCCAAACAGTGTTTTTGCTTAATGTGCCGCCTATGAGGTATGGAGAGAGGTAGCGAGTGAGGTAGGGAGTGAGGCATGGAGTGAGGTAGGGAGTGAGGTAGTGAAGTAGGGAGTGAGGTATGGAGGGAGTGAGGAGGTGGGAGTGAGGTATGGAGGGAGGGAGGGGGTGAGGTAGGGAGTGAGGTATGGAGTGGGAATGAGGTATGGAGTGAGGTATGGAGTCAGGTATGGGGTGCAGTAGGGAGTGAGGTATGGAGTGAGGTATGGGTGGTTGAATCGCACTTCTTGCGCTGCTTTATGTTCACATGCTGTTTTGCAATTTGTATGTAGTTTTCCTGATCACGATATTTGGGACCCTTTCAAGTTCAATCTGCAGCGGCTACCCTGAACCATTGCAACATGAAAGAATTTATAGCATATTTTTTCGATACAACCAACATCCTCCGTTTACTGGTTGCAAGTTATTTCAATTTCGCATGTTCTATCTGCTTCGACAAAATGAATTTGAATTGTGGAATGACACAGCTTTTGTCGATTTTTTAAAGAACAGAGAAGTTGTTTGAACATCAGCTTGTCCAGAGACGTTTCGATTTCTGGTCGGATGCTCTTTCCTTGAATCGCCAAGCTCTCTCCAAACGCTGTGCCTTTCAAACAAAACAGCTCACTATCCAGGCCTCAAAACGATCATCCTCTTCTGTCACCCGCACTAGCACCATATAGTGTTGCTGGAAGGATCGCCCCTTGCAAACGCAAAGCTTAAAATTTGAACGTTCGTTTGCCCAGTTGACCCTCTCAACGTCCACTCCGTTTAACCCTCTTTTGACCTTGAGCGTACCGGCGCAAAATCGGATGATTGGGGAGAATGATTTCGCAATTTTTCACCATTGTGTGTTCTGTTCTTAATGGGTGGGATATCATGAGTTTCTAATGAAATCACATTATTTGCGTTCGCTGGGGCAACTTGCGATGTTCCCAGCAAGTTTACATAGCGGAACACAATGAAACATGGCTGGCCAGCCCCATGTTCTGAGGAGTCATTTGAATGGAGCCGTCTCCTGAAGGAAGGCGACAGCTACTACAGAAGCCTTTATTTTTGCCAGGCACTTGAGTATTGGAAGGGCTTTTTGCCGATTCTTCACGTGCAAACTCCTGACAAGTCTGAACTTGGCAAGCCTAAGATGTAAGAAGGGAAACTGGTAGACATTGCAGTATGTGAAACCTTCCATGGCAGGCTATTGCTGAGGAACCGAAAATGCCACATTTCAAGTTGCAAAGAACCTTGGTCCCCTTTTCAACTTCCTGTTCCGGGATTGAAACCTCCACCGTTGATGCATTTTTGCTGCAAGTTCCACACGTTGACAATCTCTGGCTTCAAATTTGTGTAAACGGTTTCACGCTTTGGCAAGAGACCTCGCACTTTCTTATTGTCGGGGATTCAGGAGCGACACACGCATTCCTCGCCAAGGGTATTGCGAGCGTATCTGTAATACACATTTTACTTGCGACTTCGATTCGAACGCGCGATCTCCCGGAAGGGTTGCGTAGGGAAGCAGCAAAGACGCTATAGTAACAAAGGGCATCGCTACTAGGAGCAAGGACACTACTAGTAGCTCCTGGCCTTTCTACTAGTAACAAGAAGCTAGTAGGTTCTTTTCGGGCCCGCGCAACTCGCATTTGACCTCAGCTTCGCGACTTCAACACGCGCGACTCATGCAGAAAGCATGGCGAATAATTGCATATTGCTATTGAATCGCTCAATATTTCTACGTCTATTGAAGCTATTATACGTTGGAGGCCATTATATTGCGATGTCACAAAAGGGTTCGCTTTCCTGGCGTCTCGTCCGCCCCACCCCTCGCCTCGAGAAGTAAAAGAAGAGGTAAAACATGAAGATCTGCAGGCATTTTTTCGTTTGTGCTTTTTGCGCGCACCGACGTCATTCAATGGCTAGCGAGTCCCTCCGTTCCCTGACTGTATGAAATCCACTTTGACAACATCATGAAGAAATCGTGCAGCCTTGACTGTTTGTAGAACTTCCGACGCTTGCATAGGGAAGGCATTGGAAAATTATTTGCGCTAAAGGGTTTTCTTTGGCGACCTTTCTGCAAACAACATGCGATTCAGACCAAGCTTGTGAAGGCTGCTGGCGCGGATGTGAAAGAATTGGCGCATGAATAGTGATGTAGGCATACTATCATGGTCGCGTGCGCGTGCTGTCATATGGTTGCGCAAAGAAAAAATGTTTTGCCTTGATTTCAGCCCTGTTGATTCTTTCACTTGCGAAGCACTGCGCAAGCATTTGTCTGAACATGTGTGAAGTGTGAAATTGCTCACTTGTTCTCGAACAATCTTGCTTGTTTCACCCCGATGCGCAAGCAAAAGGTGATGTAGGCATGCTATCGTAGTGGCCTCCGCATGCTGCCATGGTTCATGTGCATATACGCATATGCGTATGCGCAGACCACCATGCATTAGCCATTTGAACATATCCTATCTGAATTCAGTCTTTTTGATTCCGACACTTGCGAAGCACTGTGCACAGTTTTGTTTGAAGATGTTTGAAGGATATTCAGCCATGCTTACTTATTCTGCAACCATCTTCTTTGTTTCACCGCGATACGCCGACACATGCGTGGTGATGTATAGGCATGCTATCGTGGTGGCGTCCGCATGCTGTCATGGTTGCATGCGCATATACGCATATGCGTATGCACAGACCACAGTTAGCAATATGAACGTATCCTCCCTTGAACTCTCTTGTTGATTCGGACACGCGCATGGTTTTGTTTGCAGATGATTGAAGTATATTCAGTCATGCTTACTTATTCTCTACCAATCTTTTTGTTTCACCCCGATACGCTGGCACATGCGTAGTGATGTAAGCATGCTATTGCATGGTCGAGTGCGCCATGTTGTCATGGTTGCATGCGCATATACGCAAATCCATAAGCGCAAAGAAATTAACAGTTGCAATATAAAGATGTCTTGCCTTGATTTCAGCCTTGTTGATTTTGCTACTGGCAAAGCACTGCGCAAGCATTTGTCTGAACATGCGTGAAGTGTATTCAAGCATGCTCACTTGTTCTCGAACAATCTTGCTTGTTTCACCCCGATAAGCAGGCACATGCGTGGTGATGTAGGCATGCTATCATAGCGGCGTCCGCATGCTGTCATGGTTGCATGTGCATCTACGCAAATGCGTATGCGCAGACCACAATTAGCAATTTGAACATATCCTGTCTGAATTCAG